ATGCGGTCGGTTATTCTTGATGACATATTTACATTTTACAGCCGTCTGTATGTCTTTAGCTTTCGTCTTTTTTCAAATATATCTAAAACTGTTTTTGAGCCTAGTCACATATGATTTTGTAGAGAATTTTAAGCGCTTTCTTTTGATAATTAAGGCAGCTTTACTTACAGTGATAATAGACAGGAAATCTTAAAAATACTGGGAGGCTCATTATTCCTGGGACACCCGATAAATAAACCATTATATAATATATATATAAGAAAGAAAAATTCAGAATTATATAATTACTATTAGTTACTGATTGTTTTCAAATTGAAGAAGGTTAGAATTTTAGCGCGCAGATTAATTTAAGAAAAATTAGTCTTTTATGTCAGAATTTATGCGTGGAAATAATTTAGGCAGACATTGCACATTGCTGAAGATTCGCATTCCAATTTTGTTGAACCAGATAGTACAGACCACCAGTAACCATGTTGTACGAAGCCCCGTTTGAAAGCTGAGAAATCTGTCCAAATTTCCAGGCACTAAAATTATAAAAACAATTACATTATTAATAGGTCTCTGTTTCCGATATAATTAAGGTAATTCGTCTTGCAATTTTTTTTTCAAATATTATGATGAAAATATTCATTTATTGCAGAAAGATCAAATTTGTCTAGCAGAACACACATCTTTATTCAATTTCGATTTCGTAAAAGTTGCCGTCTATAATAGAATATTATTTCGGTAGATCTTCATTTCATTTGCAGTTCAAACGATCAACATATTGCTTTCTTCTGAATCATATATGTTGATGATTCGAGTGAAGAAAAAACTAGTCTAAGCACAAAAGTACGATAGAACTCATGTAGGTGACAGTTCTTACTCTAAACATGTCGCAAAGTGAGACATTCGATACTATCTCAGAATCAATAACCAAATGGAAATATTTGAAACCGATTCAAAGAAAAGGATAGGGACACATAAGACCAGAAATTGATCCACTAACTTTTATTCGACCTGGCATTTTGAAACATACATAAAACAATAGATCTCAACATGGTGAACATTTTGCTCGTATTTTGGATGCATTTCTATTCTATGTCACGGAAAATTTTGTTTTCACTATCTGTAGTATCTCAATACTTTTTCTCCGTCTATGACTACATGAAAATCGACTTGTACACATGTTCTGAATCGATTGATACTCGAGAATTTGTTTTACATTATAGTTAGAGAATAGATAGATCTTGAAAATAACACAAAATTCGGCGGACTCATCAACCTTGATGATTTTGCTATTTTCGAAACAATGAGCATATCATTGTAACAAGTCATAAAAAAAACTAATCAATTTTAGCGCATTGTTTCCGTAATATTTTCAGAACAACAAAATACCTATTTCTAATTTTCTGATATACTCAAAGAACAGATTAGCACTGAAAATGACATCAAATACTACCTAATTATAGACTAGACGCTTGAGAAAACGCCGAATACACTTTTATTCAAGCATTATTTCTTTTTTTGTTTTTTTTTCGGACTGGTATTCAGCCTATTTGGGTCATACGCATAGGATTTGAGACAAAAACTGATGTGTCAGTGTAATGATCACTTGCTTTTGAAACAGAAAAATGGTCCATGATGGTCTAGTGTCCAGAGCATCCGTCTGATGAACGAAAAGTGCAAGTTCTAGAGATGTGGATGTGGATATAAGTGTGAGCAAGAGTAGATGACTATTAATATCAGCTATCCTCACATCCATCCATCCATCTAAAGCCACTTGATAGAATAATTTTACGTCAATTCCTAGAACTCAAACTGGTTCTAATAATACTCAATAGACTCATTGATTAATAATTACTCGTCAATGAGTCATCATTAGATGAAACCAGTACTAGTTCTAAAGAATAAGAGAAACATGCTTACTCAGTTCTTTGGAACTCTAACTATTATACTACTTCTCTCAACAGATCTTTCGACACGCATGATTGTCGTTAAATAAAAACACATGAACGATATTATCACTAGAAAACTTTCTTTTACTGAATTTTCTTGAAATAAAAGTGCTAGGAAAATGTATTTGATATATCATAGACAGTATTTTAATTCTGTACTTACCATTTGTCTCCATTTTCGTCACCAGTTGAATCATACCATGCATTACCCAATGAGTCAGACATTGCTTCTACTATTTCGTGTGCGATGACACTCACCATGGCGTCAACACCGAGCTCACTATTAGGTGAAACAGTCTGGAAATAAGGATTGCAACCATAAGTTGTTTTTGGATTTCCTATAAATCCGTAAATGTATTGTGTAGATTCAATAGGAAATGTTGAATGATATCCACAATAGTTTTGAAGAAAAGATTCACCCCATGAATTGCTTTCTGACACATCTGCAGAGCTCAGCCATAAGTAGATACCGTTTGGATCATCTGGTAATTGTCCCTGGCTAATATAATTCGAAAATGCATCTGGTATATTCGTACCTGTAAGTTGAGTTCCATAAATGTAGTCCAATGTCCATGCACCTCCGAGAGTGAGTGGACCTGCTGTGTTTACAATGGAACTTCCGGATGCAGCTTGATAGTAGTAGGTCTTTTCGATGTTGAACCAATTTGTAGTTCCAACTGTCGAAACGAATGTCCTAATAATATTTATTTGAGTACTCGTCCAAGTGCCATAAAACTGTACATAAAATGATGAACCTGAACAAATAATAAACGACTGACATGAAGATACTTACCAGAAGATAAACTTTGGTAGTTCCAGTTAATACACGACCACCGTAATTATACAAAATATTATTTGTAGACGCTGTATTTCCACCAGCTTGTGCATTCTTGTCGTAGAGTTCATGTATGGAATGATTTCTATGTCGAATTGTTCCACCGTGGTGCAATTCTGAATCTATATGATTAATTGAAATTTCACAAAACGTTTTTAGCATAAAAACATTGATTATCAAGTGAGAAATTTTCTTGAACATCGTCTAGACTACCGTCTTTTTTCAGAAAACAATGGGTGACTGTTTTTTTGAAATAATTCTAGAATGGAAGGAGATAAGAACCTGCGATTTTCACTGATCAATAGACAATACTCGAATGCATATTGGCATACAAAAAAATAGTCAACGTTTGTCTTTTTTGAAGGATCTTTGAAAAAGCTTTGCATATTTTAGATTTTTCTCATAGAAATTTAGTAAGTTTTTGCATGACGAGATGTGAGTATGACTTTGAATGTGAGTGTGATTTTATAGGTCTAGGTGTGTGTGAATGTTTGTGAAAAGATGACTCATTCCCACATCAACACTCACACCTCGTCATACAAAACAAAACACTAAATTTCTATACGAAAAACCTAACATATGCAAAGCTTTTTCAAAGATCCTCGCAAAAGACCAAATGTTGGCTATTTGTTTCGGACATTTTCTTTTGATATGTCAATATGCAGTCAAATGTTGCCTATTGATCTGTGAAAACCGTAGGTTCCTATCTCTTTCCATTCTAGAATTATTCAAAAGCAATCACACCCATTACTTTTTCAAAACGATAGTAGATTTCGAGTGGTCATGAAATTCAACAAGTAAAAGAAAAAAATAGCAAAAGTAACTAATCAACAATCCTCCTCTAAACGGTTACGAGAATAGAACTAAATGTCAATCGATAAAATCAAAATTGACTAATTTTGAAAGTCTATGTGTATCAGAAATCTGACTAATGAAAATTTCATTTTACAAATCAACTTTCTAGAATACTCGTCAAACAAATAACCATATGAGCTAATCAAATAATCTTATTGTGTAATTGAAGAAGCAAATTTTCTAAATCAAGTTATTTGTGACCATTGTTCTAACAACCTTGTTAGTCATTCCACTGTCCTACGAAAAATGTGCATCGCTTCCAAAAAATATTGTTCTGATACGAAATCTATTTCATTTTTCAATTTCAATCAAAAAATAAGGTTCGTTATTTTAAACAGACTAAAGAATATCTATCATAATGAGCATTTTGTTGTCATTTTAATTAGATTTTTATCAGTTTTCTTACGTCGCTTGTTTATTATTATTTCCTTCAAACCCGTAAAATTCAAACAATTCGACGGTGTAATGACACTTGCAACGATAATAATTGCTAATAGATAAAATGTCCAAGTCAGCTTCATAATCACTGTATCGTCTGTAAATAGTGCATTAAATGTAAAAAAAAAAGAAATTTACTAGGTGTAGTATTCTCTTACAACTTACTTATAATATTCCTTTTTATGGCCAAGAGATAAAGTAAAAGAAAATAATGGTTATGTTAGCTAAAATGTTCTACTATTTATATATTTCACTTCTGCTGTCATCGTTATGTTTATTGATCCATTACCCAATACTTGGACAAATACCAACACTCATTCATTATTCTCTTATTCACATAGTCGTTAGACAGATTCATAATAAACACAAAGAAAGAGATAAAGGTAATCGATATATAATGGGAAAAAAAACGCCAAGTCACTATTACTCACATTTGTATGGGATAATATCCCATCATTCAGAAGTATGATCAATGTGTTTTGATCTTTGAATTGTTACAAAGCTCATAAATTACTTAGAGAGTATACCGGTGAATTGTGGTCGTATTGTATCGTTTCCAAAAAAAATAATGGAAAACAATAAAAGCGAATCTGAAGATAATTTGAGTCTCGCATTCAATAGTGCTTTCTTTCTTATATACGAATCAAGTATCTTCTTAACTGTAAGTTTTTTCGTTTAAGAAAAAGACGAGCATTCGAAGTAAATGTATGTTCACAGATTTGTTGACACACGTAACAATTCTATATGAATATTTTTTACATTATTGTCGTATATCAATCGAATCTTTTTGACAACGTTAATCTAATGCAAAACAGCAAGCACAACGATAACTACTGATGATTCACTATATTTTGAAACAATTTACATCGAGTTTTTCTTCATCAGTGACTTATCGAGATCGGATGATTTTCATATCAGCCTATCTTACATACATTGCAGATGTTGGTATGGGTATGGGTGTGGGTGTGGGTGTGTGGGTGTGGGTGTGGGTGTGGGTGTGTGGGTGTGTGGGTGTGGGTGTGGGTGTGGATGTGGATGCCGGGATGGGCCTCCTCCCGCCCGCACTCCCAGCCACCCCCACAGCCCCACCCCCACC